CTCAACTGCATGAAACTAAGTGCACATCAGGATCTAAAGGAGTCAAGGGGGATCAAAACTGAATGCAACTTATAGACATACATAATATCTCAGAATGAGCATCCCTTTCCTGGCTCAGGGCCAAAAAGAGGCGCTTATTTGTACTTTAACTTAGCTGAACTGCACAGTTTTAAGAAAGCAATCTAGACTGAAAAATATACTCTTACAGGCATTATAGTTGAGTGCTTCAGTCCTGTCACTTCTAGCCTCTCCCTAGCCACAGCTACTTATATCCTGTATTTTTCCATTAAAAAACAAAACAAAAAAAAGTCTTTATGAAAAATCCCTATTTAATGGATCCACTCTGCTGCCATTATAACACTGTGCCAAGAAGTTATTCAGACACAATTATATGCCAAGTAAGTTACATCTGAACAGGAAGCACCAGACTTCAGACAATCCAGTCAATAACTCATAACAGCAAAGGAGAATAAAGTGATAATATGATCCTGATTATTATATTGTGGACATCAGTACTGCTCTCTTGATTCACTAGATGAAGGCTCTGGAAGAAAGCAAGAAACCTTGGAAGAACTATTATTAAAAAAAGGAGAGAACATTTAGAATTCATTGAATTTTAATTCTGGGTTTTAATGGGAGTTTTGCACAAAAATGGTCTTCCATTTAATTCTTTATTCAATAAAAAAAGGTCAGAAGGAAGTGATATTTCCTGGAAAGATTTTTAAGAACGTTAGTTGATGTTGCGGTGGTAATGGTGGTTTCTGAGGTGTATTTAGTTATGGGCAGCTAAAATTCATATTCCAAACTGTACATTCATCTGAAGCTTCAGTTTAATTGGCCAAATTCAACCCTATTTAAATCTGCAGGTGTCTTTCAATAATTTTCACCTCAGGCATCTTTAAATCACTCCCAGTCCTATACTGTTCTCATAGTGACTGAAAGTCACAAGGAATAATGAAAATGTAGGGACGAGTGAACCTTATGTGAGTCTCATACAGTGTGCCACTTACTTTCGGTAAAGCTATCATTTTTGTCAATTGTTAAGAACAAAGGCAGAGGAAAACCAAATGAACTGTGGAATGAATTAAAGAATCCATTGGATTAGGGGATTTTTTAAAAGAAAAAGATGTTACTGAGTGTTATTAGCAAATTCATGTTTACTTTACCTCCCCTGCAAGCTGACACAGTCTAAAAGGAGGAACTATTCTTTCAACTCCAGGCAAATGGTGACATTTTGCCAATAGTAAGTGTGTCTGTAATGAAATCGATGACATGCTGTTTCCGACTTTTAACATTCATATTCAGTAAACAATCTGGCAGTTAAAAATGAATGACCTCCATGGTCAGCATTGATTTCTATGGCTTTTGCTCATCCATCCTCCAGGGATAATAGAATTAGTGACTACAGCACTTTTCTAACACCTTTACTTCCAGGACATCAAATAGATTTTGCTACAATAGTTAAAAAAGAATTGTGTCATATTCTCTACCATCCCAACCCTTCCCCTGCTCCTCCCCTTCCTCCAGCAGCAGAGCTGAGAAAGGAGCTGTGCCAGTTCTAGACCAGACATAATTTAGAGTCATCATTCATCTTCTGCAGCTAGTAATATCCCCCAGGGAGCTGTCAGTGGGCGCATCTACATGTGTCCCTATGGCGCTGTTGTTACTATGCCGCCATTTAGTACTTCCTTTTAGAAGTACAGCCTGTAACAGTAACAGCCCATACTGCACCGTGCCAGCAGCGCACGGTTATTCTGGCTGCTATGTCGCTGTAGCAATGTGCTATAACAAAGGAGCATGTTGCTATGGCAATGTAGCTGCAACATCGTGGTTTTTTGCCCATGGACTACAGCGATGTAGCGTCATGTGTAGACAAGCCTACTTAGATGGGGATTTCTGAAGTAGCATACAATCTGATGACACACTTTAGTGCTCATGCTTTCTCACTTCTCAATAGAAGGTGGTGTGGAGTAGAATTTAATTTTGCCAGCAAGAGTCTCCCCAAAACTGGGAAGAAAAGCTAAATTGCTTTAGTCTGCTGCCTTGGCATTGTTATAAATCAGGGACATGAAGGTGCCAGCTTGAGCAGCCTTCTCTGAAAAGTTCCTGAGTTTTTATACTTCAGGCTGATGCACTGAGGAAGAGTGGGTCTGTCTAAGAAGAGACTGCTGCTTTCCCTGTCCACAACAGTAAATACTGATGAGAGATCAGACATTTCCCTAATCAAAGATTCTCGAAGTCGTCACTAGAGTACATTGTTCTACTTTTAGTAGAAGTTAATCAATTAGAAATGGATCTCTGGAGGAGACAAATCTCAAGTCTTACAATTTGTGCTAGTGATTCTTCCATTTTCTTCACTAACATTTTGTAATGATTCTGTAATGATGTTTTGATGCAAAATTCTCTGCTTGGACAAGTATGCATTTTTGATTTTATTTTCTTGCAGACCTTAGCTTCTTTCAGCTAAAAATTTTACATCTAATTACATGGTGGTAATGCTGAATTTAAATCTGCTTTCATAGATTTCATAGACATTAGGGCTGGAAGGGACCCGGGAGGATCATTGAGTCCAGCCCCCTGCCCCAGGGGCAGGAAGTCATCAGGGATCATAGGATCCCAGCAAGATAAGCATCTAAATGTGTCTTGAAGGTGTTCAGAGTGGGTGCTTGAACCACTGCTGGCGGCAGTCTATTCCAAACCTTGGGGGATCAGACAGTAAAGAAGTTCTTTCTTATGTCCAGCCTGAATCAATCGTGGTAGAGTTTGTGACCGTTTAATCTTGTCATCCCTTGGGGCGCTCTGGTGAACAGACATTCCCCCAGATCCTGGTGAGCACCCCTGATAAACTTATAGGTGGCCACCAGATCACCCCTGAGCCTGCGCTTTTCCAGGCTGAAGAGCCCCATGGCTCTCAGCCTGTAATCATAAGGTCTGCTTTCCTGACTTCTGATCATGCGTGTGGCTCTCCTCTGCACCCTCTCAAGCTTCTCCACATCCTTTTTGAATTGTGGAGCCCAAAACTGGATGTAGAGCAGAGCATTCCTCCTTGGTGGCGGTTTCAGTCCTCCAACCTTTATAGGTCTTTCTTTTAAGACGCAGGAGGTCCGCCAGTTCCCTGGAGAGCCAAGGGGGCTGCTGTGCCCTTTTGCTGCCTTTCCTCCGAGATGGGATGGACTTTGCTTGTGCATCCAGGATTGCTCCCTTGAGGAGCAACCACTCGTCCTGAACTCCCCTGTCCATTGGGTTGTGGCCTTTTAGAGCCTCTATGACAAGCCTCCTCAGCTTGCCAAATTCAGCTTTCCTGAAGTCGAGGACTTCTGTATTACTGACTGACTTGCCAGCTTTACGGCAGATGGTGAAGGTGATCAGCTCATGCTTTTCCTTGTACATGTTCACTTATGCCATTTATGGCCCAGTCTTAGATAAACCAAAGGTCTGTGCATCAAGCTCTTCATTACTGTGGTATTTACAAAGCTGGCAAAGACTTACACACGTGCTACTGGTCAGGCACACAAATAATTCCACTGACCTAATGTGAAGTGTATGTACAGATCTTTGTAGGCCTGGGGTCTTTGACTGCATATTTAAATACTTTGTGCTGCATGGGCCCGAATAGCACAAAGTGGAGTTACTGGAGTTACAGCTCCCAATCTGGAGTTAGTCTGAAAAAACAAACGCTAAATCAGCTTGAAGGTGTACTTTGAAAACCACTTACCTAGCCATCCCTGTCAAGGCACATTATTCCAAGACTGTACCTGAGTCCTCCTTACCCCACTGTGACAACAGGGAAGAACTGCAGCTACCTATTTCACAAGTTGGAGAAACTTGCTTTAGGGCTGGAACAATTACTTTTATGAAACACTGGAAGGAAACTAAATAAATTAATGGAATTTTTTTCACAAAACAAAAATGCATGCTTTTCCTATTTTTAACTCTTTCTCTGATGAAAAGGAGAAAGCCAGAAAGAAAAGCGAAAACAGCTAAGCAAAAACCAGTAAAAATTAGAGCAGCTAAAGCTTGAATGAGATACTCCAGCCATTTTTTTTTTTACTTTGGCCTCCTTTACCTCCCATTTTTTCACTGGGAAAAGAATGTAGGTGTTTATGAACAGAGACACATTTGAGAGTATAAAGAGGTTTGTGCGTCTCTAGTATGCAGGCACAAACGAGAGAGCTGATAATATTTCTGTTTTTTACTATGTATTTTACATGGTAGTTGAGGAAGGAATGCTGAGAACCCAATAGAATGTATCCATAAATATCTTGGTGTGCTACAGGGTGACAGTGTTTGCCGATGTTGAAGGTCATTATATATAAGTAAGAACTCTCTTCCGAAAAGCAGCGTTCTCCTTATTTATCCTGCTTCACACTCCTTATCTCAGATTTATGATAGTCTGTTGCCATGGAATAAATAATGATGTCACAAATTCTGCCCTGTGTCTGTACAACAGGAGCATGCCGAATGCAGGTTTGACGCATTATGTCAATAAGCATTCTGATTTAATGACCAATGCACTACCTGCAACTCCCCTCTACCTACTTTGAACATTTGCAATTAATTCCATGCAGCAAGAAAACATACTGCATATTTTTCAACAGTTAAGTTACCCCATAGAAAACCTCCAGTGGAGATGCTCTACACTGGTTTAAGAATGAACTTGCCTGGATTCACTTCACCTTGATATCTAGTGCTGTCTAACTCTCTTCACTGGGTTTTGAATCTGACCCATAAGTTGGGGGGGGGAGGCAGCAGAAGCATGGCTTATGTGTGGTCACAAAAAGCATGCATCTGTGTTGCATGGATTGATGTGTTTGGTCTTCAGAAGCATGAACAGTGCGTGGCCCCAGCGGCTGGGTGGGGCACGGTGGCGGTGGGAGCCTGGCAGCTGTGACTGGGAAGCTCCCACAGATACCACTGGCATTGTCAGTGGCGAGGGGTGGCAAGCACTGACCAGGGGTCAGTGACCACCCGCAAGCACTGCCAGCGGCGTCGGCAGCGGGATGGCGAGCAGTGATCGCCCACACTGTAAGGACTGGCTTTTTGAAGGGGGTGCACCACCACGCTCAGTGGTGCATGTGCACCCATGTGCACCCCCTATGCGTCACCCCTGTTCAGAAGTCCAGAGGATACACAGCAATGCATCCCCATCTCTCACGCTTCTGCGAACAGATCTTTCCACCCCCCCCCACACACCTCACTTTATTCAGTATAAAGGAGTAAGCAGGATACAGTGCAGCAATGATTCATTGAACCAGCCTGCAGACAAGGCTGGCAATGCTCACTGAGTCTTACTGGGCTTGCCCCTGCACCTTTTGATCTACTGGCAGGGATCATTTGGACAGAATTTCTACCCAAATGTGTTCAGTATTTAATCGATATACATGGCTGTGCATAAGCATGCCTCTAACTGGTGCTTTATTCTTGAGGTTACATCTACAATTGATTTTTATTTATTTATTTTTTTACACTTTTCATTACTGAACATGATCTAGACTGTAATAATGTCAGGGATGCTAATCAGGCAGGCCAGCCCAGGGCCCAGTGCTGTCAGGGACATCGATCAGGCCTGCCTGAGCACGTAGGGCAGCAGCTACACCTGCAGCAAGCCCCAGCTAATGAACTCTGCCCCAGTTTAGGAGCAGCGAGCATCCTGGTTGTCTGCTGGGAGCACCACTTTTCCATTCAGAAGGAGCTGGGGTCCTACGTCTGCAGGCCAGTCAGCAGATCTGCTGTGGCAAGCCTCCTGGGTCCTGACTCTGGTTTTGGGCTTATTTCTGAACTTTGGCTTTTCCTGTGGTTCTGTTTCCTGGCTCCTGACCCCAGTCTGGCTCTGCTTTTGGACTTCTCCCTGTGGATTGACCCTTGGACTGGCACTTGGCATCTGACTTCCAGTTCCTGACCCTGGATTGTGTTGCAGACTTGGCATCTGGATCCCCCTCTGGCTTTGATACATGGGTCCTGCCCTTTGACTTAGCTCCAGACCCTGCTTTCCTTTGGTGGCCTAACCATTAGACATCCTGGACCCTTACAAAGAATGGATACTACCAGATGCCTTCAGGGAAGGGGGCAATGCTCCTGTGTCAGAAAGCAGCACGCTGTGGCCACACACACAGCATCCATTCTCTCTGCAAACTCAGCTCCTGCAGGGTGCAGTCTGCTGTGAAAGTTTCCTGCTGGAAACGGAGGCACAGAGAAGGCTGATTTGATGCACAGCAGAGAAACCCAGGGCAGAACCTGACAAGGGTGGCTCCTGGGCTTCTGCTTGTACCCCAATGCACCCGCTCCCGCAGCACAGGCTCCCACGAGGCCCTGGCTGGGCGGAGGCGCCCTGGGAACAGCTCTGCACAGCACGGAGCTCAGCTCCCGGGGGCTGCGGGGCAGGGCCAGACACAGACGCGGGCAAACGGGCCGGCTGCCCTGGGCCAAACACAAAGGGGGCCTGAAAATAGTAATTTAAAAATTATTATCCTCATCTCTGGTGAAGGGGGCCCTGATACTAAAAGTTCGCCCAGGGCCACCAGGAGTCTAGGTCTGGTGCTGCCGAGGGGCCTGCGCCAGGCACAGCCAACTCTCTTATTCCAGGAGGTTTCATCACATGCCCTAATGACATTAGTGACTGACCTCCTGTACTCAGCAGACTTCACGTCACGAAAGCAAATGCACATTTATATTTTAACAACCCAATTCCACTACTGAATAAATCGGATTTTACATTTAATATTTATTTGAATAGATGCCCTGTCATTTATCTCCCCGGCGACTCTGAGCCGTCTCCTGGAGATTTAGCTCCAGTTCCTGGAGACTCCAGGGCCATCCTGCAGGGCTGGCAACCCGGGGCGCCCGCCGCAGCTCGTCCTCGCGCCGCGGCCGCCGGCAACTGGGCGGAGACGGAGGCAGCGGCGAGAGCCCCGG